GCGGAACTTGACCACAGCACGGTGGCCCTGAAGCAGCTGGATGCCCACCAGGTCAGACAGCTGCACATGCAGCACGTCCACTAGGGCGACACCAACCAATGGATGGTCCACCGGCACCGTAAACGCCAGACCAGCTGACAGCGTGCTCTTCATTGGAGGGCGAGACGTCCCCATGGCGAAGCAAACGTCACCCTGTCAGTGGCAAACCACCACCAGCAGGGCAAACAAGCGATCACCCAACGTAAACACTAGCCAGTGCGGAGAGACCTCAGGAACGTCCGACCTGGCCGGCGGTCACCACGCAACTCCAGTGGCAAACAACCACCCGTCAGGGCAACCAACAATCACCCAATGTAAACACCAGCAGGGAGACCAGGGGGAACGTCCAAGCCGGCTGGTGGTTGCCACCACACTCCTCATCAATGGAGAATTCCAACTTGTACAGTTGCTGATTTCTGCCATGTTCCCCCCTTTTTATTTATTATTTCTTGTTTTTAACACAATTTATACTTTTTTTTTTAGATATATACAAGAGTTGTTACATTCTTGTACAGCCACTAGTACGCGTACTTAATAAGTACTTAGTACTTAAAACAGCCATTAGTTTCAGGCAGGTCCCTGGAATACGATCCCCGCCGTGAAGAATCGTTTTTACAACCAAGTACTCATTTTACTGTTGAGTTAAACAGAGGCTACAGTTAAGGATTTGTGCCCAGTAAATCCTCCCCGGCCAGGATACGAACCCATGACAAAGCGCTCATGGAACGCCAGGCGAGTGTCTTACCACTGTACCACGGAGACTGGTAAATTGCAAATTTTACTTCAACTTTAATCTCAATTACTATTAAGTTTTAGTCTAAGTGTCTTTTTTTCTCCCACACCTTGCTCGAAATGATATGCGTATAAGTGGCTTTAGGTACTGTATGTACTAGCTCTATCTATAAATCCAACATTATGTTTGTAACTCATCATCTATGTATATACTTTTACCTGAATAAAAAGTTGAATTTGAATTTGTTCCGGAAGTGTTCGAACGTCATCAGTTGTGAGTCGTGTCTAAACCATTTTTCATTCATAAACAGGGGGTTTGGCGGGTGCATGGAATCACTTTTGGGTCTTTGTTTGGAGGACGGGCTGGAAATATAACGTGAGCCGGCGGCCCCTGGGCGTAACAGGTGTCGGGACGTCCACTCGTTATTAAGGTTGAACCAGTAGTCTCCTTATTTGTGTCGTGCCTTGACTGCTGCTCTTGACTATTGTGAGCTAGGTTCCCTCTCCCTTTCTTTCTAATGGTGTCAGAATAGACAGTTTACAGGTTACTCTCTCAGTCTACATCAGTAAAGTGTCCTCTCCAATGATGGAAATAGAGATAAGCAAGTGTACTGAGTATACTTACTATTAAATTTCTAGTTTTTAATCTTCAATTTCGACAGTAATGTTCTTACCTATACACCTTGCGAAGTTCTGCAAGACCCTGACCCATATGGTTAAGGACACACCCCCGTTCTATAGTCATGTAACGACTCTTCTTTGAATATTTTCATTTCCGCTCATGTTCTACCACTCTTGATTACAGATGGCTCAAAATATGCCGACGACGTTGGCTTGTCAGTTATTTTTCCTGCTTAAACGTATACGTGCCACTGTGCCATGAAGATGAGGGCGGAGCTTTATGGAATTGTGTATATGCTCTCCGTCAGTTACATCTATACACCACCATTCTTTTGTTATTGTGGTTGACTCCCACAGTGGCCTCAGGGCCTTGGAGTCTTTTAATCCTTCCCATCCTGTGGTGATTGAAATCCAGTATTGACTTTTCCTTATCTTTTCAGCAGATATTAGGCAGTTTAATTTTGCTGGGGTTCCCAGTTATATCAGTGTTGCCTATAATGACCTCACAAATGACACTGCCAATAATACCACTTGCGTCAGATGCTCTGGAGAGAGTAAGTAATTATCAAAATAAGGCACCAAGTTGGGAAGGCTATGTAGCATCATCAGTGTCGCTGGATATTCAATTGGCATTAAATATAACTGAGGATGCCAATACGAGAACAACAGCACATAAGGCGAGCGATATTAAAGGTATCAGATTCACCAAGGATTTTCTCGACGGACAGTAGGAAAGCAAAACAGACGATCGTCCTGAAAACCGTAACATTGCACCAGGTGGAGCACGACTGTAAGAGGGACAAATCAGTTTGGACAGTAAGGAGCAGGGCGGCATTACATTAAGGGCCCGTGAGTTGCGAGTGTCTGGACAATATGTACTAGCAAAAGCCTTTTCCCACCGTCTATTACGGTAGTAGGAGGACGGCCAGGGCATTATGATAATATTAAAGAGTCCGCAGTTTGTGACCTGTAACCTCAGACCAGCGACCTCGGACTGAGGAATGACTGGGTAGAAGTCTGAATTAGGAATGCTTTTTTTTTAAGAAATGGGACAAGTGCACACAGCTTCCTTAGTGGCGGTCTCCGCACGTTCATTTAAGGTAACACCAACATGCCTGAGAACCCAGCAAAACTCAAATGTCTTAAATCTGCTAGAGTTAAGACCCTATAATTATCTAGTGTGTGAGTGGTCGCCAGTGTGAGGTGGTCGCTCAGTGGTGTGAAATATTTAAAAAAGAATAGTTACTCCTTCCTCTGATGAAGAGCCATGGCTTGAGTGGATGGATCAATAGATGGAGGGATAAATGGAGTAGATGGATGGCTAGATAGATGGATCGTTAGAAACAGATGGATGAGAAGATGGATGGATGGGTGGGTAGATAGATGATATATATGGGGTGGATAGATAGATGGATAGATAATTGGATGGATAAATGGATGTACAGATGGATGCCAAGATAGATGGATTGACAGATGGGTAGATATGTGGATAGATGGACAAATAGGTGGATGGATAAATGGATGGATGTATAGATGGTTAGCTGGATAGGTAAAAGGATGGCTGGATAGATATACTGTATATGGATGGATAGATAGATGGATGGATTGATGGAAAGGATAGATAAATGGATATATGTAATGATGATGGTATATAAATGGATATATGAATATAAAGATGGATATTTAAATGAATAAATGAATGGATATAAAGATAGGTGGATAGACTGATGGATATATGGATTGATAGACGGATAGATAAATGGACGTATAGATGGTTGGAGAAGATAGAAGGAAAGATAGATGAACTGACAGATTGATAGGTAGATCGATAGATAGATAGATGGACGGATGGATGGATAGATATGTGGAAACCGACCGGTGAGATTTATATTTATTAATTTATATGAATTTATATAGAATTTATATTTACGTTAATTTATATATTTCGATAGCAATTTGTATGTTTAGTGGACTGTATTTCTGCAAATTCTCACAAATTGATCCTTACACATTAGGGGGGTTTATATTAAACTTATATATATGCAGCCAATCAAACTACTGTATTAAACTACATGTATTAGTTAATAAAATTGGAGGTGCCTTATCTTATTGTATGGTAGGCTTAGTCCACCAGGTATAACTAGGATGTAGACACCAAATTATCCTCGTGAGAGGCTAGCTTCCATCACCCAAGTAACTGATGGACCAAGATTAATTCTTGCTTCCTCTTGTTCCTGTCAAAGGGCGCTAGCTGTAAGCCAGAATCCTAATATATGACAGCTATATCAGAGGAAACATTTATATATTATTAGATAAGGATCCAAGGCTTAATTACCTGTATTTAGTGGCTCGTTCGCGTCCTAACTGGTTCGCCCTATATCTACTTAACATTAACTGGCCAGAAATGATTAGATAAACGGGTTTCGGTAAGACACTTCCCTTGTGGTTGTTGACTGCGTGTTGATGATGGTAGAACATTAATTTGATCTCCATAACACTTCGTCCAAGAGAACTCTTAGGAGCTGAATTTGCTCCTGCCACTAGTCTTAAAACAATGGCAGACCTGCCTCACCACTGACGCCTTGGCTCTCCTTGTCCAGATGTCAGTATGTGGTAGAAGGGTCACATTTACTCTGTTATGATACTAATAATTAAGTTAATTGAAATGAGATGATGAGATTTTATGATGTAATAAGTCCAAAGACTACTGTATTTAAGAATAATTCCCAACGGAATAGCTGGTGAATTTATAGTACAATGTGGCAATGATATCCCATTTTCTATTGACAGAAAATTCCACTACAAGTTACATTTTCTATGGGTTAACTTGTGTATACAACAGAAGCAATATTATCTGCCTATTGTATGTAATATTAATAAATGGTGTCGAGTTTTCCGACAAGATAGATCGACGGACGGATAGATGAATAAAAAGATGGATAAATTGATGGACCGAAATCGATTGACAGATGAATTGATGGATGAATTGATGGATGGATAGATCGGTAAATAGATGGATAGATGTTGGATATATAGATGAAAAGAGGGATGGATACAGATAGATAGATGTATGGATAGATAAATGGACAGATGGGAGACAAACAGACCCAGACAATGATGCCCCCCCCCTCCCGCCTTGTGTACTATATTAAGTCTCAGACAGCCTATATTAGGCCTAGGGTGATTAGACTAGGTTAGGAGTCATTAGCAACATAGATAGAATAACTTCCCAGGTTGTTCAAATGATTTTGAACAAATGATTTGTTCAAATAATACCAAAAGTCTATTACTGTCACTTGGTGGATCAGGTACATATAGTTGTAGGATGGAGCACATGGTTATACATGGAGTATAGCACATGGTATACTACACATGGTATACTACACATGCTATACTACACATGGTTACAACACATGGTTACTACACATGCTATACTACACATGGTTACTACACATGCTATACTACACATGGTTACTACACATGCTATACTACACATGGTTACAACACATCATGTTAAGAGGATGGGTCGGGGTTGTTACCGATGCAAGGCAGCATTGATTGTATGCATGGTCAGCATGGTCACCACTCCACCACCTTCCCCAACTTACCTTGTGAAAGTGTACTGTGTCTTCCTCCTTACCAGCCTCAGCCTCCCTCACCTGGAAAGATTGTGGTTTACAGAAACAAAATTCATTAAAATATTAAAGCCAACGTTTTTGTGACAAGAGTTTATTATTGTTGTTTTTAACGTGTTAATGAAAAGGCCAAAATAAGCTGCCTTGCATCAATACAATCATGGTCAGTAATCAACTTACTTCCGTCATTTTTGGTTAGCATATATTGTATAATGTAAAAGATGAGGAAATATTTTCAAAATTTTTACGAATTGACATCAATTTTGATTACTTTGAGAGCTGGAAATTAATATTGACTAGCACTTTTATTTGATAATTATTGCACTTACTAAGAGGTCACCTAACGATTTTTATAGTATTAATGTAATTATTGTTTAGGGTCTTCCCCTTCCTGAGTGATAATTGAGATGGTTCAGCCAAGATCTTACATATCTCCTTCATATGCTCAACTTACACATTGTGACTCAAGAGGTAAAACAAGATTATTCAACTGAAAATTCCATCATTCACAGTTATTATTACTTTGGCTGGCCATACGCAGGTAGTGTGTGCTCTCATTAACATCAAGTTGTCCTCCCATACTGCCCTGCCCCCCATCATTATCTTCACCCATGCTATACTCCACACACTACACTGCCCCCCCCCCATCATTATCTTCACCCATGCTATACTCCACACACTACACTGCCCCCATCATTACCCTCACCCATGCTATACTCCACACACTACACTGCCCCCCCCCCATCATTATCTTCACCCATGCTATACTCCACACACTACACTGCCCCCCCCCCCATCATTATCTTCACCCATGCTATACTCCACACACTACACTGCCCCCATCATTACCCTCACCCATGCTATACTCCACACACTACACTGCCCCCATCATTATCTTCACCCATGCTATACTCCACACACTACACTGCCCCCATCATTATCTTCACCCATGCTATACTCCACAAAGTCCAGGCGGCCAGTGAAGGAACAAGTGTATGACGGTGGTCCGCGAATTAGTTCAATATTCTCGGGATATTTACGTATCAGTGAGCCCAAAACATAGTTTTTGGTCATATGAAGGGTACAGCAACGCAGTGATAACGCATCATAGTGAATTCTTATAACGTTGGACAAGAAAAAAAATGAAAAAGAACGAGTTTGTGGCAAGACAGTGGCACCAGTGGGCTAAGAAGGGAAGAATTTGGACCACCACGTGGAGAGGAGCTCTGGCCTACAGGGACGTCAACAATTAAAGTGGACATCGCTTCATAAATCACCTAGTTGTGCTGTGGGATGCTTACTTGGAGGTGAGTGCTTCTCAAAGTCAGTCATACAAGGTGTACAGTGTTTTTTATATAATAATTAGCTTTGGACTTAAGTTAAAATAAGAAAAAGTAGCTCGAGAATCTCAGCTTGGTACTAGTTTTTCACACCTGTGTGTTACATTACACCGTCACTGACTAGCCCCCACCCCCCTCCCCCTCACCATAACACGCCAATGTAAACACACACACACACGCACGCACAAACCAGCCTACCGCCAACCTCACCCCTCACCCCCGGGACTGACCTTCCATCCCTCACCCACCTGATTGCCCTCCTTCCTCTCTCCCCCACTCTGCCTCTCTACCCCCGGTCTGCCACTCTCCCTCACACTCTCCCTCTCTCCCCGGTGTTGTAATCCACAAGTTAGTAGGAATTATTAGCTAGAGGATCATTACTACAACACTTAACGAATGATGATTGAAAGTACATGTAAGTAGACAGACTATGGATCACATATCTAAGAAAGGTCAATGGATTAAGACCGAAGCTGTTTAGCCAAATTAATAATTCCTGGAAAGAGGAATTATTCTTCGTCAGGCTTCTAGGAACAAGATTACCGCTCTAGGGATAAGGTTAATCGGATTATACCTTCCTCAAGAGGCGTGGTGAAATGATTGAGGCCATGGTTGGCTAGAGTCAGTCTGGTTGTGGAAGTTGAACTAGCAAGTCCTCTGAGGTCTCCATTTGTGGCAGCAGCGAAGTGTAGCAGACAGCTATGCGAGAGCCTGTTGTGATCTTAGTGACCAAGTTAAGTCTGCAGTATGTGAGTATTGAATGTAAGACTAACCGGGTGTGGAGCGTTGTAGTAATCATTCCGTATTAGGGACTTAGGCGGAAGTTACGAGTGTGGGTGGTGATCGCGGAGGTCAAGTGGTCTATGGGTATTGGAAGTGTATTGACCTAATAGAGTATGTTAATTAATATAGTATTATTTGTCAGAGTCTATTCTTTGTAATTAAATGACAAAACCCGACGGCCTTTAAATACCTTCCGTATGTTCATTCATTGTGTTCCAGTACAAACCTAGTGGTACGCCTCAAGGGTCTGGTGTGTGTAGGAGTACACGGTGGTAGTAACGGTTGCTGAGGCAAGGTGTTATGTATTGTGTAATCGCTGTGTTCGGAATGAACCGGGGTTCAGCGTCACGACATATTTGGTGGCAGCGCAAACAGGTTTGGAACACTTTGAGAGATGAAGGAAGTGTGTTACTGGTTTAGTTGGTGAGGGAATGTTAGGGAATTGGTAGACGACATATTTGGTGGAAGCGCAAACAGGTTTTGGAACACTGTGCGAGATGAAGGAAGTGTGGTTCTGGTTTAGTTGGTGAGGGAATGTTCGGGAAATGGTAGACGTCGGGTTGTGGTGAGAATGGGGGTTACTAGACGGAGGAAAGAAGGGTCAGGTGAGACCAGGTCAGAGGTGTTAGTTAATTAAAGGGACTAGGCCATTGTGGGGCGCATGTTGGGTTTATTTCTTTCTTTCCAGATTCCCGCAACGAGAGACGGCTAAGAGGCAAGTCTGGACCACTGAAGCATCGGGATCCAAAACAAGTGCAGTGTTCGTAGTGCGGATTATACAGTGTTCGTAGTGTGGATTATACAGTGTTCGCAGTGCGGATTATACAGCGTGGCGAGGTAAACTTGCGCGGGTGAATGTGGGCCAGCGTGGGCCATGTGCGGCCATGTGCGGGCCAAGCGATGGGTGGGCCAAGCAAGCCTCACCTTGGAGCTTGTTTTATATCGTTGGTAAGGCGGAAATAGTGAGAAACCGTTGCTAAGGTGAAATTAATCGTGTAAACTACGCAATTTAAAGTTAATTAAATTTCATGTAACGTGTAAATCGAATATTTTAAGGATAATGAAATATTACCTAAAGTACTGTGCGAGTTCCGGCGTTGTCAGGTGTAGATACAGAAAATAGGCGCAGTGAATTATGGACGCCTTGGCATAGCGAGCGACGCGTAATTTGACGTCTGGGGTTCGCCGTCTACTGTACCCTGGAGAGGGCCATGGAGATTTTTTTGTGGGTGCAGGTAGCATTATGGAGAGTGTTACCGTGGGACACGGGGAGCGTGTCCCGTTGGTGGGGGTGTGTGGCGCCGGGTGTAGTGCATGGTTGTGTATTGGCGTTTGTACGCCGGGGTGTGTAGTGTAATGCATGTGGTGTGTAGTGTAATGCATGTGTAGTGGCTTATTAGACGCCAGCGTAATGCATAGTATTTACTGTAGTGAAATATGCATGTTTTCACTGTGGATATCATGGATGTAGTATAGTGCATGACCTTGTTGGCATTGTAGCGCCAAGGTGTAGCATGTGTAGCATAACTGGTTGTTGTAACACCGGGTGTATTGTAGATATTAGCGTTGAAGTATGTTAACGCAGGTGGTAGAGTGTGGCGGGTGGCCACTACACAAGACATTATACCTGACGAGTGTGGGTCAGGTAATTAATGGATTACTAGAGAAAAGGGACGCCGTGTGTGATGTTGAGGGCGTTGGGGACGCCGTGTGTTGTGTTGATGGCGTTGGGGACGCCGGGTATTGAGTTGATGGCGTTGGGGACGCCGGGTGTTGTGTTGATGGCGTTGGGGACGCCGGGTGTTGTGTTGATGGCGTTGGGGACGCCGGGTGTTGTGTTGATGGCGTTGGGGACGCCGGGTGTTGTGTTGATGGCGTTGGGGACGCCGGGTGTTGTGTTGATGGCGTTGGGGACGCCGGGTGTTGTGTTGATGGCGTTGGGGACGCCGGGTGTTGTGTTGATGGCGTTGGGGACGCCGGGTGTTGTGTTGATGGCGTTGGGGACGCCGGGTGTTGTGTTGATGGCGTTGGGGACGCCGGGTGTTGTGTTGATGGCGTTGGGGACGCCGGGTGTTGTGTTGAGGGCGTTGGGGACGCCGGGTGTTGTGTTGATGGCGTTGGGGACGCCGTGTGTTGTGTTGATGGCGTTGGGGACGCCGGGTGTTGTGTTGAGGGCGTTGGGGACGCCGGGTGTTGTGTTGATGGCGTCGGGGACGCCGGGTGTTGTGTTGAGGGCGTTGGGGACGCCGGGTGTTGTGTTGAGGGCGTTGGGGACGCCGGGTGTTGTGTTGAGGGCGTCGGGGACGCCGGGTGTTGTGTTGAGGGCGTTGGGGACGCCGGGTGTTGTGTTGATGGCGTTGGGGACGCCGGGTGTTGTGTTGAGGGCGTTGGGGACGCCGGGTGTTGTGTTGAGGGCGTTGGGGACGCCGGGTGTTGTGTTGAGGGCGTTGGGGACGCCGGGTGTTGTGTTGAGGGCGTTGGGGACGCCGGGTGTTGTGTTGATGGCGTTGAGGACGCCATTGGGTGGTGTAGTGTGGTGGCGTTTGGACGCCTGGTATGGAGTGTGGTGTTGTGGAGTATATGGTGGCGCAGGGGCGCCATGTAGTGGTCGGTAAGGTGAGTATTGGCGTAGCAAGGTCGGTGCGTTAGGACGCAGGAAGTGGTTGTGGGGATGTGTGGCGTTATATTGAGGTCATCAGTGGTTGGGATGACCAGAGGTAATGGTGTGTCGGAGTGGGTAAGTCTTATGGATAAGATGAAATGTGGATAATTGCAGGAGTTGGTGGCTGCAGTAGGCGAGTCAAGTCGATATCTCTAGCAAGACTCATAAAAGACTAATAAAAATTAATTATTTTCATTAAAATTTTCATTAATTAAGTCGGAGTGGGTAAGTCTTATGGA